TCATTGATAACAAATTTATTCACTCTACTTTTCTTTTTCTTTTTTACCACTGAGTACAACTTATAATGAACCTTTTGTTAACCTTTTAAACATTTTTATGGAGTCAAACAAATTATACCTACATAAGTCCAAATAAAAACTTAAAATGCTCGAAAATATCAAATGCCTATAAATAATTAAAGCCATGTCTAGAAAATGCTCATATGTGAAAATATAGTGGTCATCAATTTTCTGTCAGAAAAAAATGCTACATTTAAATATCAGAATATTATTGCTCGTAGAAAAGTTGTTAACAGACAAAAAAAGAAAACACAAATCATAAAGTAAAACCAATATATTCTAAAAGAAGGGTTTTCTCGTTTATTTTGTAAACACCCTGTATATATTTTATTGGGGTGTAGACGGAAACCAGCTGTCGCGGAACTCGCGCAAGGGATTAAGAGAAATTTCAGTATATGCGCGCACCAAGGATGGAAAAAAATTACAATACCTACGCACGTGGGGTTATAGATGATTTTTTTTATGCTTGTTCAGACCATTGACATATACCTATTATTATATTTTATTATTTTTACCCGATGGGCGACCGTTATTGAAATGTATAATAATATACGAGAGTGACGTGATCCTACAATGTTTAGAGAGGGTATAAAATGGAAATACTTAGGTAGTCACCCTCCATGCACGAATTTTCGTTCATTGTTACTATATTTTAACAATTATACATGCATCGTATAAATAGGGGATTATAATCGATGTAGATACAAAAAAAAAAAACCATCGAAATTCGTATATACAAAAAAGTTGCACACATGCTAATAATGAGCGGTAAACGGTAAATTTATACATCGTTTTTTAAAGACTATAATTGTGTGTATACAAAAATATTAGAAAATGTAAAAAGTCTCAAAGAAAAAAAATTCCAAAAAAGACGTATCCGGAAATAAAGTCTCTGAGAAAAAAATTTCTCTGGGGATATCCCCCCCAAATACCTAATTTTTCTTAAACATTTATAATAATATTTAATATTACATTGTATCTTTATAACAAGGACTATAACCGGACCGAAAAAATCGGATATAGAACCGGGAACCTTATGTTAATTATGAAACAGAATTATTTTTTCAAATGTTAAATTTTACCCGTCATGGTTATGGGACATATAGTTACTAGTTAGTAACTACGAAAAGATGGATTTTTAGATTTTTAGGGTAGATCTGGTTATCGTGTAGGTACTAGGTATTCGTGTTTGCTTATCTGCATCGACTGTAGCTGGTAATAGATAATACCCATTGTTGGATGCCGCGTTATTAAAATATATTAACTATTATTATTTTATTCTGTTTTCTACAGTGGCGTGCCCAGGAATTTTCAATGGGAGAGAATGTAACAAATAAAAATCGTGAAAAAATAGTAAAATTGTCTTTTCTGTCCAACTCGACTATGGGAATTGGTAATTTAAAAGCCGGTTCTTAAAAAAAAAAACCAATTTTTAATCAATTCTTCAAGCTTTTTCTCGGAAATCGGCTGAAATTGATGAGTTTCGATATTAGATTGCTCATATTTTGGTGCATTTTTAAGCCAATATAGGGAGGGATATAACCCCTAACCCCCCTCTCTGGGCACGCCACTGATTTTCTGTGATATTACGTAATAATGCTACCTAGGTACTGAAAAAATTATTGCAATTCACAGTATTTCACTGGTGACTGGCTACAACAGTCAACGTTTGTGGTCGTGTTTATATAATATTACAAGAATAATAATAATTTATAATATATATATATATATTGTATTTTGTGATAATTATTGTATTATTTAGTACTAAAATAATTATGACTCACCATAAAAAAAAATTATGTGTAGATTTTAGGTATTAGCATTAGTTTCCATTCAAAAGAATAACATAAAGACGCAAACACATCCAGTACAATAATTACGAATTACGTTCACTTAAAATTTTAATTTAAAAATATTTATTTATACCAGGTTAAAACCGGTTTGACCGCTATCGTTACCGCAACCTCAATTTCATGTTTTTAAGATTTATCATTAAAATCGAAACCATAATAAAATTTTTTTGAAAAGCCAAATAAGAACTGAAACCGAAATGATTACAAATTATCCTTATCCCACCTCACAAAATCATTTAACTGCCATGAGGACGGGTGCAGCCTCTGTTATAACCTTATAGGTAATTTAATGTATAAACTATTCCTAACGAAAAAATAATTCTGAACTGAGTTCAGTTGATAGTGATATATATGCCATATTATAGTAAAATAATTAAATAGAAACTATATATTTTCTTTAATAATATTTGTTTAATGTTGTACCGATTTCCCCGGTTTTCCTACATTTTTATCGGTTTTCCCATGCTTTTTCCTAATTCTTCAAATTTTCTAAGAAAAGTCCGAAGAAAATCGAAAAATGATTTATTTAAAGTATCTCCCCAGTGAAATTTCCTTTCAGAAAAAGTTGCTACACGTAAAAATCGGAGCAAGTCTTCTGGTAAAAAAGTTGTTTAAATAAACAAAAAATAAAAAAAATTAACATCTTTGTAAAACCATAAGCTTCTTCGCTCCACTCAGAATCTAAAATAGATTAGAAGAACCTATAGGTTCTTACATATTAGTACATACTCAGGGGCGGATTGGCCTATCGGAAAATCGGGTACCTTCCCCGATGGGTCTTGTATGGGCTGTTATATTATTATGTAATTTCAAAAAAAGTTATATTTTTTGTAAAATAAGCATAAAATATTAAAAAATCAAATATGAAAGTATTTTTTTGGTACTTATTGGTACATTCGTACTATTACCGGACGACGGAGTTAGTACGGTAATCGGAAAATATCGTTATTTGAATATACTTTTTACGATGATAAAATGACAATAAAATGAACATGAATATTATCGCCAATCGGTAATAATAACGCAGGTTTTATAACGTGTGATATTATTTTTTGTTTGGTAATATATAATAACTAATAACTAATGTTATAATAATAATTATGTACTATAATTTAAAAATATTCTTACAACTCTTAATTAAAAAAAAAAAAAATACCTAATTATATACATTTTATTTGTATAATAACTCAATAAAATATTTAATTGTATAATATGTTTTTAAATTTTGTGATAAGTACGATTCCGGACTTTGTATGTAACATGTATATTTGCGTGTCTTTCACCCAAAATTTACATAGTTATAAGAAAATGGGGAAAACTTTAATGCAGGGTATATTTTAATTTTACTGATAAATTTGTTTGTCAGTTTTTTTATATGGTTATAGGGTTTCACAAAGATTTTTTTATTATTTTTTTTTATCTATAAACAGCTTTCCTTCCAGAAATTTTATTCCAATTTGAAATTGTAGCATTTTTTCCGAAAGGAAATTTTCTTGAGGTGGTATTTTAAGGAAATAATTTTTCGATTTCCTCAAGAGTTTTTTTAATCAAATGTAAAAGAAACCAAAAAAAAAAAAAAACTGAGGAAAAACAGGAAAATGTACGAAATAAATTATATAAGTAAAATATTACGATTTTTATTTTCTGTGGATAACTTTTCTACCTGATATTTTCATCCGATATACAATAATAGCATATTTTCTAAAATGAAATCTGACTGAAAATGTACTTTAAAGAGGATTTTTCTCAATAAATAGGAAAATTGTAAGAAAAACGGGAAAATCTGATCAGTATTAAACAAATACTATTAAAGAAAATTTAAAAATGCCTATTTAATTATTTTACCATTATATGACATATATATTGTTGACAAAGCATCGCCATCAACTGAACTCCATTCAGAATCGTTTTTTCGTTAGCAATGGTTTATCGTTGCTTACAGATAAACATTAAATTTCTTTCTGTATCTTACCTTCCAATTTCCCATCTACAACAGTGGCGGCACCCGTACCCAGGACAGCTAGTCCTAGGACAATGAATTAAGAATAATTATTTTTTATATTTTATGAAAATATAAATTGTTAATTTATTTTTTTAAGCTTAAAATAATTTAAATAAGTTAATGGATTTATAAAAACCAGTTCTAAAAAGGAAAAAAAATATTTGATATTTTGATGATGAAATTTTATTATTTTTATTTTATTTCATATAGGATATCTAAAAACAAAATTATCCAAAATTACATTAAACAAAATCGGTGACAATAACTCGCCTTGTCTTAGACCCGAGTTCACCGTAACCGGGTCAGTTATTGAATTTCCCACTTGAACCATCACCAAGTTCTCCGTAGTATCAACACTTAATTAACATTAGATCGATCAGTTTTCGTGGAAAATGACATTCTTTGGTGCAACTAAGCACGACTTCTGTATAATCTGACGACCGGTTTAATCAATAATTTCTCCAGAAAAAGCTGTTCAAATTGCCTAATTTTACTACTTCAGTTATTGGCTAACTATTTAACAACTACAACAACTGTATTATACTATATAACACGTAGTGTCGTAGTAACAACTAAAGTTAGTAGTAAATACGCAAGAAAAAAAAAAAATGATTTTTTTTCATATTATTGTATTTATTTTTAAGGGGTAAAATACGACAACCATAACTACAATCTCGGGGTATTGATAAAGTACTGGTCGCCGGTTCTTACCACATCTGTCCAGTATTGCCGTTTATTATAGTAATTAATATTTGATATATTTCAAGCCAAGTATCCGTATTCCATTACACCGTATTCCGTGTACTGTGTATTTCATATCCAACGCCGTTCAAATATGATTTTTCGGACATTAACCAGTGTGTTATCTACTATCATATCGTTAGAATTTTAGGGGCTGTGATATGGTTTTATTTTTTTCCTCATTAGATAACCGTGAATTACATATATATGTGATATGAAATAATAACAATTATCGCAAAATTCCATTCTCACACAGTGAAAATTTGAATCCAATTCAACTTCTTGGTGTCATTAGTACAACAAATATAAACCTGGTAGTACCCAGAATCAATATATTCTAATCTATGAATCAACCAAACCGTTCAGCCCATCAGAATAGATTGAACATAGATAACTGTGAACAGTGTAATGGAAACTCGGCGTCTCGACATTGGCCGGTATGTCACATTTTGAATGTTTTTTTTTCTTAAACTGTATAAATATGTAGTAATTTAATTCATGAAAACGTATAGTATTTATTCATTATTATTAACGTTTGATATTGTAGATACTGATTAATGTTAGGATTTCCATAGTTTGATAATATTTGTCAAAGGACGTTTTCGGACAGAATATTGCATCATATATAGGTATGCATTAAAAAACCATTTTTAATTTATGTGATTAGTTTGTTTTTGTCTGCAATTATTCTTAGTGCTCATTACTGATAACGATTTTATTATTTATTACACTTGAGGAACGGATTTATTCTTATTTATTATTTAATTATTTTTATTTTTATTAATTACAGTATTTAACAACAATAATTAAAATAGACACTAATATCATGAAAGTTAATAAAAACTGAAAATTCTCCACTCACTTCAAAATGGGTAAATGATTTAATATTATAATTATAACAATAATAATATTATTGTGTACCTACCTAAAATATCGCCAATATCATTTTCAACTCACCTACCTACAAAAAATATTCCAACACTACCACATCATGTCTGTAAACCATATAATAGGAATAGCCAACCAGTTTCAATGGGGGTCGTTGTAAATAATGTTTCAATCATTTTTAAAGTAGGTATATATGTAACACTGGCAAATTAAGAAAACTTTCTTAAAAGCCTTACATTTTATTTGTTTGTTTGTACAGTATTCTTTTAGTATGTGACCTCTCGAACTAATAATTAATTAAAAATCATAAAGTTAGGTTATTTTATTATTATAGATTATGAATTACATTCAAAACCTGTCATCAAAATATCAATAAAAAAAAAAATTTATTAATAATGTCATAAAATTATTTTATTATAAATTATGTTTTTGGCAATACAATTTTTGTACTGTACATCACTTATAAATTTAAAAAAAATTTTATTTTGCTTGTAAATAAAAAAGGTACCATGTATCAATTAAATGATGTCGCAACATTTCAGCTAATGTTCCGTACATTTTTCATAGGATTTTAGTTTTTAATATTCCCCATAAAAATTCAATTAGTTGCATGTGAGCTCCAGTAGTTGGATAAATACTAATTTTTGAATGCTTTACTATTCTATGTTCATAGCTTCTATTTTGTAAACAAGAATATGTTCTCCATTTGTCTGATATTATAATAGGACCCGATAATATATATGTATATTTTTTTTTTTTGATAATTGGAATAAAAGTTTCTCTCTTGTGTTTTTTCTAGAAAAAAAAACCTTTATTCCAAATTATCTCCAATTATGCTACAATACCAAAGGTCCTTCTATTCTGCAACCATAATTTCAGTTTGATGTAGGGAAATTAACTATATTTATTTGATTTTCTTGATCACTGTCAGAATTAGAGTCTGTCGAGTTATCTTGTACTTGTTCATGACACAGATCACTTAGCAGCCATCTTCCTCGGTTATACTTTCTTCCCTCTCTCAATAATAATTCATCAATTTATACCACTATACACAAAATATTACTATATTTTGTCCTCCCATCTTTTGACCTTTTTCAAATAATAAACATAACATATCTACAAAAATTAAACCAGTCAACAGTGCATTTGAACGACCTGTTAAAATTGGAAACAGTTACAATATTGTGACCAATAATAAATAAGTTCTGGTATTTGATCCAAACTGAGATTTGAATTGCCTCCTGTATTAAAATCAGTATATGTAAAAAAAATCTATTTTTGATAACAGTTAATCTTTTTTTTCTTATGTACATCTTTTTTCACTGTGGCATTTATGGCATAAATCAATTTTGTTATTTTGTGGTAATAGTTTATTCCTTTGTAAAAATTCTAACACAGTTTTTTCAGAAGAAATTATCGCATACAACTCGACTACTAACATTTTAAAGTTTTACACACACACAATTTAGTATGAATGACCATACAGGTACTAACAATATTGTCCATAATAAACAATGTATCATGTATTATAAAATATCTATTGGTAAAAACCAATGAATATAATATCAATATAATATAATTATAAAGATAAGCAAGCATAGGTTATACCTATACCTATATCCATACCTATAATAATAGTATAGAAAATTGATTTGGTAGGTCATGTGCAAAACTCAATTCTCAATCTGTAAATTACATACTAACCAAATACCAATTGTACCATTGGTAATACTAAGCATTTAGCATGTAAAATTATAATAATTTATATTATATTTTTGATTATTCATCCTTGAATTCCTAATTCTTATTATGTGTTCTTGACATCAATTGTCTATTGTATCTCTTTTATCAACAGGAAAAAACGAAAATAATGAAATTGTTAGAAACAGAAGAAAGTGTGGATGTCGATTATGAAGAAATGAGAAGATTTATGAGTAAGATAGAAAATCTCAATAAATTAGAAGTACTAGATAAAGTAAAGCAAAGGGAAATTGTGATGGCTGCAAAACAACAACTTGTTAAACTTGATAAACTAATATTGTTAATTTAATTTAGCTGCTCATTTTTCTTAAATATATGATAATGATTTTATTTTAACTTTTTGTTCTTATTTTCCAGTTAACGATGGGGCAAAATATAACCTTCATGTATTGTTTGGACAAAATAATCCAAGAACTACCTAAAAAGAGGACTTGCAGCATTTCCAATTATGAATGTTTATTAGCAATAAAGCAGTATTATGAAGATAAATTAATGTAAATTGAGTGAGTATTATGTAATTTAAAGTTTTCTTGTCTTTGTGTTTAATGTTTTAAATCTGATATTATTTAATAAACTGTTGACTTTTATTTTTTCTCTTTTGGAGACTTTTAGTTAAAAATTGTTATTGGACATACAGACAGGCAGACATTCATTTATATATATAGGCATATATATATATAACAATTGTTGTAAATGTACAATCTCTAAAAGTTCTTTTGATGCAAATTTAAGCCATGTTTATGTTTAACAGCAGAACACGCTAAATAATATGCCATGGGTATTTTCTATAGCACATAAATACTTCTTGCCATGAAGACTAATGTAGTATTTGCCACATTATTTGTTCTATTGAGATATCCAAAAATCCTCAAACTTTCAATAAAATTGAAATGTTTTGAATATTCTAAACACTTTTTAATGGATATTTTATTGAAGCAATTTATACATTTTTTCTTTTTCTGGTTTTAATTCAAATTTTTTCCTTAAATGGTTTAAGTATATCTTATTGAATCCATGTAGGAATTTAAATTGACCGCCATTAGTTGGAGTGCCTGGTAGATTGACCTTTTGTAATTTAAAAAAATTATAGGCAGTGGCAGATTTGTTAAATATTGTTAAAGATAATTGATTTTGATCACTACAATTTTTAAATTAGTTTTCAATTTACTTATAGATTTTTTATTTTTCAATAAGTTAGATTGTATTTGTAATTTCTGTTTCAATTTTTATTTCTTTGGTATATCATCCTCATCAAATTTATTTTTGATACTGGAGCTGAGCATATTTATTATATCTTGTATATTTTGTTGTTTCCATGTAACTGGAGTTTAAAATATCAATTCTTTAATATGAGACCTAGAGGTTGTATGATCATAACGGAGTTGAGTTTAACTTAACAGTAGGACTTGGTACAGATTTTCATTATTCGGAGTCTCGTAGTTAAAAATGTTTGAAAAAATAAAATACCTACATTAAATTTGTTGCATTGCCTACATAAAAATATTTGTTTTCTTCAACAATAAATATTTTTAAATTACAAAACTCGAAAACATTACATCTTTAATTATTTCTTCATTATTGCAAACATTGTTGATTCAATTTTTTTAACATGTTTCAAGTTTGATAATGTAATTTAATGGTTTTTCTCTCATGTGGTTTTTATTTTTCTTGATTTACAATTTGTGCTTTGAGTGAAAAATACTCTTTTAAATCATTGGAAATGAAACTTAAAATTATTATAAGGTTTATATGACCATTCATAACACACAAATAATTAATATTACCGTAGTTTTACTTAAGTTTATTTTAGTAGTTAAGTTATAAAAATACAATTCTCTAATACAAGCTCAAACACAGAATTTTTTAAATTATTTTTCGTTATTAGTTTAGAACATTTTGTAAAAAAAAAAAAATTGGAAATTGAAGAGTTAAATTAATGTGATTAATGAGACTTTGATTCTTCATTGAAGGGCTTCAGATATCCCTATTATCAGGTTTTCAAGCCATGAATTTACTAAAATCCACAACATATTGTTAAATCCACATATGATAATAATAATCATAAACAATATTATCTTGAAAACTGGTAGATACCAGTCACTATCTGGAACATACAATTAATTTGTAGGAACAAACATGGTAGTTTAAGTGACCAAAACCCTTTTTATGACATTAAATTTACATATTGTATTTTCAGATATCTATTTACTGTTTACTCATACTACTAATATTTTAAATGTAATTTAGCTNAAAGTGGTTGGGTTTTGACAACAGCCACAATTCATGAATTGAAAAATAATTGTAAAGCCTAAATTTGTTAAAAGAAACTAAATTACAAATTAAATGTTTTAAATTTATTTATAATATTAAAAAGATATTGAAATTTATTTTTGTAATCTTTTTAATTTATAGTGACCATAACATGGTAATTTTTTAACTGTTTTAGAGTAGAGAAAATGATTACACAATTGAATTATGTTTATACTATTATAAATTTTATTTGAAGAATCTCATTTGTTACAAATACTACTAATACTAGTGGTTTTTATAATTAATAAAAGTAATTTTACAAAAGACAGATTTTAAAGTATATCCTGCTATAAAAATCAAAAATGTAACTTATTAACATGAACTTTGTGTTATATTTTTATTAACAAATAATAAGTAACGAGAAACAAAAATAATTGTTAAACTCTTGACATATGTAATAAAATACTAAAAATAAAAAAATAAACTGTACTTATAATACATTTTTACTCATAATAAGTAATGTTTAAACACTTATAACATTTTGCTTTTATCTTTAATAATGTAATTATACTGTAAAATAATAATAAGACATTTGTTTTATATTCATTAATAAATGAAATTTAACATTTTTAAACTTAATTTAACAGTAACTACAAAACGGCACATAGTAATTTCTTGTTAAATTATCAAAACAAAAGGAACTTCAGTTTCCTTATCATGTAAGGAAACTAGTGGTTTAGGTTTTTTTCTTAATCATGACGAAAACATCAAAAAAGTTAACAGAATAATTTTGAATGACCGTAAAGTGAAGTTGATCGAGATAGCAGATATTGTAAAGATATCATCTGGACATGTACATCATATCATTCACGAATATTTATACATGAGAAATCTGTGTGCAAAATGGGTGCCGCGCGAGCTCACAATCGATCAAAAGCAACAACGTGTTAATGATTCTGAGCAGTGTTTGAAGCTGTTCAATCGCAATAAACCTGAACTTTTACGTCAATATGTGACAATGGATGAAACTTTGGCTCCATATTTCACCCCGAGGTCCAATTGACAGTCAGCTGAAGTTACTACACATGATGAACCAAATCCAAAGCGAGGAAAAACACAACAGTCAGCTGGCAAGGTTATAGCATCAGTATTCTGGGATGCGCAAGGTAAAATATTCATTGATTACCTCCAAAAGGGCCAGACTATCAACAGCGATTATTATATAGCATTATTGGATTGTTTAAAGGATGAATTCGTTAGAAACGGCCTCATCTGAAGAAGAAAGAAGTGCTGTTTCGTCAAGACAATGCACTGTGTTACAAATCAATGAAAACAATGGCAAAATTTGTAGTACGATTTGTCTTTTGCTTCAAAATAGGCCTCAGTTTTGGCGATTACTTCTTCATTGACGCTAAATTCCTTTCCAGTAAGGGTTCTTTTGAGGTCTGAAAACAGGAAAAAGTCGCTGGGGGTCAGATCTGGCGAATATGGTGGATGTGGAAGCAATTTGAAACCCAATTCATGCAATTTTGCCATTGTTTTCATTGATTTGTAACACAGTGCATTGTCTTGATAAAACAGCACTTTTTTCTTCTTCAGATGAGGCCGTTTTTAACGATTTCATCCTATAAACAATCCAATAATGCTATATAATAATCGCTGTTGACAGTCTGGCCCTTTTGGAGGTAATCAATGAATATTTTACCTTACGCATCCCAGAATACTGATGCCATAACCTTGCCAGCTGACTGTTGTGTTTTTCCTCGCTTTGGATTCGGTTCATCGTGTGCAGGAACCTCAGCTGATTGTCAATTGGACTCCGGAGTGAAATGATGGAGCCAATGTTTCATCCATTGTCACATATTGACGTAAAAGTTCAGGTTTATTGCGATTGAACAGCTTCAAACACTGCTCAGAATCATTAACACGTTGTTGCTTTTGATCGATTGTGAGCTCGCGCGGCACCCATTTTGCACACAGATTTCTCATGTATAAATATTCGTGAATGATATGATGTACATGTCCAGATGATATCTTCACAATGTCTGCTATCTCGATCAACTTCACTTCACGGTCATTCAAAATTATTCTGTTAACTTTTTTGATGTTTTCGTCATGATTAAGAAAAAAACCTAAACCACTAGTTTCCTTACATGATAAGGAAACTGAAGTTCCTTTTGTTTTGATAATTTAACAAGAAATTACTATGTGCCGTTTTGTAGTTACTGTTAAATTAAGTTTAAAAATGTTAAATTTCATTTATTAATGAATATAAAACAAATGTCTTATTATTATTTTATAGTATAATTACATTATTAAAGATAAAAGCAAAATGTTATAAGTGTTTAAACATTACTTATTATGAGTAAAAATGTATTATAAGTACAGTTTATTTTTTTATTTTTAGTATTTTATTACATATGTCAAGAGTAGAACAATTATTTTTGTTTTTCGTTACTTATTATTTGTTAATAAAAATATAACACAAAGTTCATGTTAATAAGTTACATTTTTGATTTTTATAGCAGGATATACTTTAAAATCTGTCTTTTGTAAAATTACTTTTATTAATTATAAAAACCACTAGTATTAGTAGTATTTGTAACAAATGAGATTCTTCAAATAAAATTTATAATAGTATAAACATAATTCAATTGTGTTATCATTTTCTCTATTCTAAAACAGTTAAAAAATTAACATATTATGGTCACTATAAATTAAAAAGATTACAAAAATAAATTTCAATATCTTTTTAATATTATAAATAAATTTAAAACATTTAATTTGTAATTTAGTTTCTTTTAACAAATTTAGGCTTTACAATTATTTTTCAATTCATGAATTGTGGCTGTTGTCAAAACCCAACCACTTTACATATATATTATGCTTATTTTGAAAATATGTTCAGTAAGAAAGGATTTTGAGAAATTGGTTATTTATAAATTTTTGTTCATTAATGCATCCCAAAATTGTATTATTTGTTCCATATTTAAGCTAATATACATTTAGAAAAGTGCTTAAAACCTTTGATATTTTAAATACCTCTGTAATCCAATTTGCTGTACACCCCTTACTAAATGCATGCTTTTATATAAATATTCTAACCTTATCATTAATTTTAAATTAAGGTTTTCATATTTTTATATTTTTTAACCTAAATAATTGTTTTTTTCTAGCTTCAAGTGGTGTACATTTAATCATTAAATATATAGTATTATTATAATTAATTATTAGTTTTGATATTGAGTCCTTCCAAATCCAAGACCCTAATGATCTAAAATGTTTGCAAATTGTATTTTATATTGTCCTTTTAAGTTATACACATTCAACCATTTCAGCCTTTACATTACTGTATGTTGTATAATGTTTAATATTATATTTGTTCATAAGATCTTTGAATGATTTATAATAAAACTTTGTTCCATTTTTTGTTTTTAATATTAAACAAATTTTTTTGTAACTTTTGTACTAATTTTATTTGTCAATACTTAAAACTTATTTCCTTAAATATTTAATATATTTATTTATATACATATATAGGTATTGCTTAAATTCTCCATACCTATAATTTAACTAATATGTATATGTTATAGATATATAGTTAAATCAGTCATTTTATTAAAATTTAGTTAAATGCCTATTTCAAGTCAATTATTTTAAAAAGTATACTATATTTGCTTATTTGTTTATTGCTTTTCTTTATACAAATTATATATAATTTAGCAATATATAAAATGCAGGTATATGAAATATATTTAATTTTATGTCCTCATAGGTACCATTGTTTAGAAACTAAAATTATAAATAAACATACCTAGACAGAAGTCATTACTAATTACTAGAGAACCATATGGAGATTGTTAAATTAGAAAAATATACATAATTATAAGTAGGTATTTTTTTTTAAAAAATATATAGATAGGAAAACTGCTTATTCAATATCAACCATTATCATTGTGCAACACAATTAAAATGATTCAAGTTATGATAGAAAATATATTTAATGATCTATTTATTTGTACATACATAAAAAAAATACAGTATCTTTTAAAATTAATTAGTTTGTGAGTACGCCTCACAGTGTTCTGAATCATAATTTAACTTACCTAAATTTCAATTTTAAAATTATGTAAAATGTGATTTGTGCTATAGAATTATTGATAATTATAAGTATACTAGAGACAATTTAATGCTTATTACCCATTTTACCCATTTTACACAAATCTAATTAAATACCTAGGTAAGTATAAATATAGTACCTATATAAAATTGCATTAATAGGCATAGACAAGAATACTAGTGTAGGTAAATTAAATTTTTTTTAAAAACAATATAGAACCTACAGAACAAGGTAAATTCATTGTTATTCGAGATTGAAAACAAAACAATCGATACCTGGTGGAATTTATTAGAACTGTTCTAATGGGGAGACATTGAGTACTGAGTGCTGACTTCTGATTTTCTTTGTAATAATCATAAATATAGCTTTATTTGTTGATATTATGGATGACTATAATTATTATTCTAGCCAAATTGATAATAAAGATACATAAATTACATATGAACTTGTATTAAACTTTTATAATATATAATATACAATAGGTAAAGTATTTAAAATCTACCTTACCTACTTCATGAGTTTTACTGTGAAGGTCATTGGTTTGCAAACATAGTCCTAAAATCTTAATAAATTTATTATTTTAGATTCCTTCTAGGTAAAGTGAAGAAGCTTATAGTATTGCACAATTTTTTTTTTTATCAGTGCGCAACTTTTCTACCAAAAATATTGCTATAATTTTTAAGTGTAGCACTTTTTCTTAAAGGAAAATCGGTGTGTAAAGGTACTTTAAACAGGTCACTTTTTGATTTCCCCAAGAGTTTTACCAGCAAATGTGCATAACGGTGGAAAAAACATGCGAAAACTGAGAAAATCATAGGAAAAAAACATTAAACAAATAATATTAAAAAAAATATATTGAGGTTATTTAATTATTTTTCTATATTTTGACATATACATTGTTGACAAAGCATCATTATCAACTGAACTCTGCTCAGAATACTTTTTTGTAAGCAATGGTTTATTGTAGCTTACAGGTATATTTTAAATTACCTATAACCATGACTTTACCCATTTTCGGTATCAGCTCTTTTTTTATTTACATTTGGATTACTAATTTTGTAAAGTGAGTATTAATGGGGTATTAATATGCATATCTGGGTGTAGTAGGGTGGAATGACCACAGTTTTAAACAATGGTAGGAAACGTTGGATTAAGCGATTATAACTAATTTTAGAAATTAATGTTCTGATACAAAATTATTGTTTTAGATTATTCATAAATAATTAAATAAATATTATAAATTATAAAAATATTTTAAGTTTTCTTTTTAAATTAGACTACGCCTAATTATAATAATACATATTATTGTTATTTTTAGAATAATAATCATCAGGTTTAGTTATTACTAATTTGTTCCAATTATGAAAATTCAATTTGAGATTGTATGTTTCGCCCCTAATAAATTGTCCTTTAATTAAATTGTTACTTATCATAATTATATTATTTTTCTTTTAAATTCTGAATGGAGCAAAGAAGCTTATAGTTTTACAAATATATATTTTTTTTATCTATGCACAACCTTTCTGCCAGAAGACTTGCTTAGATTTCTAAGTGTAGCAGCTTTTCTGAAGAGAAATCGGAGTGATGAGGTACTTTAAAATAATTTTTCGAAATTTATGTATTACACTATTACTATGTAGATATAACAAGATGTATAAACATTTAAAATGCCTACCAAACTAATATTGTGATATTTTTCTCTGATCAATAAATATTTTACAAAACTAAACAATAGTATTTTATAGAGATGAATAATATCACAGTATGTTTCATACATATTAGTAGTTTATAGAACTTATAAATTTATAACCAATTTAAATACCAATGAATATATTACATAATTATACAAATGTAGTACAAACATTTCAAAAAATGAAAAATAATAAGTACAATTTTAATAATAATCAAATTAGGACAATCATTATTTTTGTCCTGGATAATATTCAAAATATTTTGTTTATTTTATAATTTAATTTTTGGCTAGTTTTAAATGTAATAACTGCAAATAAACGTGTAGCTATAATTCCTAAGATTTAGGGAACATTTTGAAATTTTTGATTTAAGTTTCTATTAGTTAAAATATAAATTCTATAACATCACCGATTTTAAACATTGAAAAAAAAATTAATTAACGTAAAATGATATTTTTTGGAATTCGATATAGTATATTATTGATATAAATATCTATGCACGAATAATACAAACATTTTGTTTTTTTTTTATTTTAAATACGAATAATACACAATCTGTTCCTAGGAACAATAAGAATNACGTGTAGCTATAATTCCTAAGATTGAGGGAAAATTTTGAAATTTTTGATTTAAGATTCTATTAGTTAAAATATAAATTCTATAACCTCACCGATTTTAAACATTGAAAAAGAATTTAATAAACGTAAAATAATATTTTTTGGAATTCGATATAGTATATAATTGATATAAATATCTATACATGAATAATACAAACATTTTGTTTTAAATATAAAAAAAAGGTTTTAATCAATTAAAAGAGTTTTTTTGATTTTTTAGAAAAAAAACCTATTATTATCGACTCTGCAACTGGGTGATATTTGTGTCCACTAGATTATTAGTTTAAAAAAAATGCTCGGGTTGTTGCTATATTAAATATTAAAAATTCAAAACTACCAAGTTGGTTAAATAACCATCCACTGGAAGTTAGCAGCGCAAGACAACTTTGAGGTACACTGCGGAAATTTGGCCAATTCGTTCATACCGTCATTTAGTTAGTTGTTGTTGACGCTCTTGTGAAGGAGTGCCACTCGTAATTTGTGTTTAGATTTTTCGCTAACTTAAAATTAAGTTATTTGTTTAATTTTTATTACGGAAAACTATAAATAAGTCGACTTGTATTTTGGATATCGCTTAAGCATTGTGAGTATAAAAATTTATGAATCAACTACCAGTTATAAATACAATTTATTTATATTAATTAATAAAATAATACTTAAAATCTAGTGGTTTACTACCAGTAAATGTAGGGCGGTATTAGTCATATGATACCTAGGCGAGAATAGTAAAATGGTTGTGTCAAAAAAATAAAACTGTGTTTGTTGAAAACGTAATATTGCGTGTGCGTATTTTTTGTAATATTAGAATTGGATGCCGCAGCTTACATAAGTTTGAATAGCAGATTATGGAACCAAATATGTCGTCGCTCAGTATCATCATTCCATCATAATTACAAAAACACGAAATATATTTTTATGATCCGACGTTTCCACAATCTAATGCGGAATTGAAAATAGGTCAAATTGTGGGCGGTGGGCGTTTATAATTGCTGTTTACGTCTAATCAAACCTAACTTTTCGACTTGATAGTTGGTACTACTGTAAATAGAATAGCGCTGTATAATAGAGATCGGCACCCTCATATTTTTTATTATACTAACATTGAACTGCAGTTGTTTACAATATAGTAATCATAGTAAATTTTGCATACGCTTTATATAAATTAGTTCTGTTGCAAAAATCTGCATACTCATTTCGGAAACATCAATAAAGAGGTATCTATTATTCTTATAACTTTGTCCGAATTCATTCTGAACAAAAAAAAATCGATAATGTTAAGAATAGCACAATTTGTTTTTACTGACAGTAAACAATAATATAGGGCTGAAGATTAAATAATTTTTAATTTATTTTAATAATTTTTGTTTCAGATTTAAATTTTAAATATGGCAGATGACAACTTTGATGATTGGTGGAAGTCTTTGTGGGAAAAAAACAAAGGTAAACTTAAAAAAAAAAATTAAAAGTAGTAATTAAAAATGTTGAATGTTTATTCAGAGAAAATCGTGAGAGTATAACAGCTATCCTTTTTTGTATACTAGACTTCTGATTTCCAGTTCTGTGTACCCCACTATTCCACATTATTTTTACATTTTTTCCTCTTTTGTTACTTTATATTATATTCTGTAAATTTCATAAAATTAATGAATTCATTAATATACATTCTTAATCCCTCTTTAGAATTTGTACATATACCTGATACAAAATACAATTGTATTTAACATTAAGTTTTTTTAGATTTTATAATAGATTAGGCCAAACCAAAATATACTATACTTAGACACTAAGTTCCTATAATAAAATTATTAAACACTTATTTAATATATGTTAAATATATACAAATCATAAATATAAAACAATTAATGTAGTGCATCTGTTATCATATTTTTAAGCTATTAACTATTATTTCTACATTTATTGTAAAAAATAACATGATAGATGTATGCATTCTCACAGAAATAATTTAAAAAACAATTTTTAATTTTTCTACCAGCAAACTGAATTATTTGTATAGTTGAGGAGACACAAATGATTTTCTGATTCTTGACATACCGGTTTTAACAGAAGCTGTAATTGTCCAAATGTGATGAAACTCCGAACAGATCTTCCGACTATAAATCTACTCACACTCCCCAAGTTTAAAGTACAAATAACTTTAACTTTAAACTTGTGGGGTAGGTTAGATTAGGTTAGGTTTTTGTTTTATAGTTTTAGGAAATTAGTTATTGATACTTATTTAGTATATTTTATATTTATGTATAAATTATTTACATTAAAATCAAAAGTAAATGTATTTTGCCATCATTTTTAAATAGTTAATTTGGTTAATAATATAAAAGTAAAAATAATATGGATCATATAACTATCTATATATTATACAGGTATATAGCTATGTTTATACATTTTTATGGTGGTGTTACAATTGTCTGATTTCTTTAACTCAAATAAACTACAATTAACTATACTATTTTTAAAATGAGAAACAAGCATACAATTTATCAATTTTAATTGATTTTATTTATTCAGTACTATTTTCAAATTTTTCGCTGCTTGGAAAAATTGCTATTGTTAAAAATAATTCTATGATAAATGTTCGATTCCTAGCAACTATTATCATTTATACTTGCTGCATGGTTATTTTCTTTTTCTTGTTTAGACCGGGTTGAATTAAAAATAGAATAATTAATAAATACTTATAGGTATGCAAAAATGAAACTGATTTAGTTAAATATGATGAAAGTAAAATAAGTGTTTAAAAATAATTTTAAAATATATGTTTATTATTCATTAAATTATAAAGTGTAGATTATGATAAAGTATTTATGATCAAGATTGTATCAAATTTTCGACAACATTTTGTACTAGCATAGTCTTAAAAAAAGAGCCAATGCCTTTTACAATTTTTTTTTTCAAAATTTGAACTTTAATTGAATTAATTGTAACCACGGAGGACAGTCACACAAACATTCACATATAGCAAAAATCTTCATGAATAAACTTCCACCTTACTTTGTACACCCACTTTTATTTGTGATTTTACCTTTCTAAAAATATGATAATTTTTAAAATTTCAGTTGTTGATTTCGAATTGGAAAAGAATAGAAATGAAACAAAAGATAATTCAATCTTTAATGAACGCACTCCTGATGATTTTGTCAAAGCCAAGAGAATGAAATTTAAAGAATTTAATGAAAATAATAGTCAATTATATGACTCTTTAGATAATGGTGGAGTTAAAGAATTACCGGATAAAGCATATCAACGGAAAACAAAAATAAATCAAGATAAAACTGCTATTGAGGATAACTTTAAAGAGTTAGAAGAAGAAACTAAAAATTATTATGATATTTTACCTAAAGATTGGATTGAAATAAATCATAAGAGTGGCATGCCCATATATTTGCACACAAAATCCAGAACTGTGTCATTAACAAGACCATATTTTTTGGGATCTGATGATCCTGAGTTACACGTACTACCACCGATACCACCATTGTTGGCATTAAGTTCTACACAAGGGGAAAAAGGTTTTGAAACTGAAGAAACCAAAATAAATGACCATGATTTTCAGACACGTAAACTAGACAATATGATTAAACCAACTGCCGAAGTTAAGAATTCTCAAGAAAATATTAATAAAAAATCTTCCTTTAAGTGAGTATTTAAAACAAATGTAGATATATAATTTTAACTTTTTTTTTTAATTTGAATAATATATTTCAATTTTAGGATAAAGGAAATTAATGCTGCTTTGGAACAGAGTTCTCCACAACATACAAGTTCAGAAAATGTGTCCATACAAACAAATTCAGTGGAAAGACCTTTACTTTCAGATAGCGATAATATAACATCATTTCCAGTTCAAAGCGAGGAACATGAACGTTTGAGTAGTTTTCAGAAATGGATATTACATCAAAATGGTAAAAGCGTTGTGTATATCTTAAAGGAATATTTAACAAAGATATTTAAAATCAAACCTGTCTATGATTTTAAAGAAACTGAAAATTCAGAAACTCCTTATTCTGCAAGTGTTTTCCTTAAAAATGTTTGTTATGGTGTTGGTTCTAGTCAAACTAAAAGGCAAGCAAAACTGAATGCTGCCAGAGCAACATTATATATTCTCATACCACAAATGAACAAAAAAACCGATTTAGATCAACAAATCCATCACTATCCAGCCATTTTTAACCAACTTGAAATCACTGATCGTAGAGTTAGTGTCTATTGTGACATATTCTCAAAAAAAATGCCCTATGAAATGCTATTACTGTGTTTGCAAAAGAATTTCAAAGACTATGAAGTTGATTATAGATATAGGGGTCCTTATGGGAAATTAAGTAAATACTCTATGAAAGTTGGTCAATTTGCGGTTTATGTCCAATGTGTAAATAAAGAAGATGGTAAACAAATAGCTTCTCAAACAATGCTGGATCTTTTACATCCGCCCATTGACAATTGGGGTTCATTATTGTGTCTGTATGATGGCTTAGAGCTCATAGAGAAACCACCGCAGTTGGAACATAATATTGCCGTAATAAATGAATTAAAAAAAACAATGTACAGATTCCATATCCAATCCAAATCATCAAAAGACTCTAATACCCAACTACTGCCAGAAAGCAAGTAATGTAATAATAAATAGGTTTTGAGTAATGAGGATATCCAAATTTTTTTAATCCAGATTTCTCAGATTATTTGACCCATTTTGTAAGTTTTTTTCATTATCTATCTTTTATTAATATCACTCGTGTAAAAACTTTTCATTAATTTATATCATATTATTTCCTACTCATTTTGTCTACCGGTGTTGGCCCAAATCATAGGATAACCTCTTATTTATAAAATTGGAGTACTAATAAAATTAATAGTAATAATAAATAATTAAGATAATATAGAGATTATGAGGGCAGTAAAAATTAAAATTAAAAAAAAACAAAAAAAAAAAAATTAAATCAAATAGGATTTTATTGTAGTTTAAGTAAAAATTAATTCAAATTAATTAGGTACACAGTGATCCTAAATGTTTGTGTAATAGTTTGACCTTATTTATTTAGTTCATGGCATATTTTGTATTAAATATAGGATTTTTTTATATGAGCCAGGCTTTAATTAATAGCTTAATACCTACCTCTAAAAAACAGACTTGATTTGAGCATTTAGATAGTAGGGATATTTATATTATTTTTCTGTCGTGTATTGTAGTATATTAAATATAATTGTATTAATATCAAACTAAAAAAAAATAAATAATTAACAATGAACAGTGAATACATGTACATTTTTTCATTGTGTTGAAAAAAATAAATAATTTTACTACCACAATATGTTTGATCAGATATAATCATAACTACACATGAACAAAGTTCCAATGATCTTTTGAACATATCTAGAGTAGAATTATAATTTGTAGGACAATTTTGTACAAGATCATAGACTAAATTTTTATCATTATTTTTTTTTTTTTACTAAATAATAAGTTCTTATAGATGATTATAATACTATTTTTATTAATTAGTGACATGTGTTTATACCTAATCTTGATCATGAAATAATTTCACAGCATTTGTTATGTTCACAAATGTTATGCTTGCAGCATTATTATGAGTAATTCCCATAATCTACTATTTAAATTCCAAGCTTCTATAACATTCATAATCCTGAATTTTAAATGTTCAGCCCTATGACTTGCATTTCTTCAATTGAACGATTTACACAATAAGATTTCCAACTATCATCTAAGTAATAAGCAGGAAATGTTAAATAAAAATCAATTTGCTAATGATGACCAACCAATTAGTTGTTAAAAAAATGTATATAATATTTTTCATAGCTACTGCTAACACAAAATACTATAAGGCTACTATTAACACTTAAATTACAAAAATATAGACTTATAAAGTCTGCCAAAAACTCTTTCTGTCCTCAGTTTTGTATAAATTATATTTGCGATTTATGTTGATATTTCATGATAATTTGTATTTGATAAATATAAAAATAAGTTTATTATGTATATCTATCTGATCTATCTATCCTACCTAAATAATTATATCAATAAAAATATGTATTATTGCTGTATAATTCCTATGTTTAACTGTATATACATTTTACTTAAATTCAAAAAATAATTTCTAATAGTCATTTGATGGTTACGTAGTAGAGATAAATTAAGTAGGTTTACTTATTTAAATATCCACCTCTCATAGGTATAAATTCTAACTTTTTTAATTTCAATAATCGTTCATAATAAGTGTGCTTTTAAAGAATTTCTTTAGAACATTTAGAAAAAAATACAATTTGCTTTATAATCCATACCTTAGTGATAATTAACAACTATGAATTACTAATTTTAATCTTCTGAACTGATCATTTATAATTGCCCTACTACTTAAGGAATTACATGCATATTATTATAAATTATGTAATAAATAATAGCATGGTTGTTTAAACCATAATGCTTATTAGCAACAACAATATAGAATAGCTTTAAGTTCTAAAAAAAATTGAGATTATACTAGAAAAACGTGTAAAACTATAATACTAAACATAATACAGTATAATCTCATTATTTTTTCAATTTATGGTGTTTTTCTTAGGAAGGCAGTATAATCATCACTACTTTGTTTTTGTTTATATAAATATAGGGCAATCAAATTGATCTTTTTCAAAGTAAAGTGCTACTTAGGAATTTTTTTTTTTTTATTATTGTAAACCTTATACAATGTAGTACCCTAAATATTAATTTCTACAAATTAATATTAATTCTTATAATTAAATTGAAATATTCTTAATTTATTGTAAGTTTTCTAAATGGACACTTTTGAGTAGTGAATTTTTTTTTAGTTAAAAGTCAAATTTTGTGTGTTTCTAGCTGAGTAAATTATTGTGTTTCATTTATTAGTACATTTAACAGCTAGGTTAAGTTTAATAGTGAATTGTATAGATCTTATTAGTAACATAAGGTTTAAATTTTCAATTTTATGTAGACATAGTTTTAGATATTTATTGTATTGTATAAGCATTTTTTATAACACTAAACAATATATTTATAATTTTTATTCATAATAGTTGACTAAGTTACTTTTTATATTTCATTAAAAATTTAGAATTATATCTTTTTTTAAAACTTAATTAATAATCAATGATATCATAAAATATATATGTTACAATTTTTAAAAACTAAATATTGTAAAATGAATCACTGTATGTACTTGGACACTTAAATAATTGATGGAAACCAACAAAATAATTAAATTATTTAAATATATTTATCTTCAAGTGTACAACATTTCTGTTTTCTTGCATTCATTATTAGAATATAATAAATTAGTAATTATTAGATGTCAATGCAATACACATTTTTGTTTTATTGATATTAGACAATTAGACTTTTAAGTACATAATTTGATTCATGTAACAGGTTTCAAAGGTAAAATATTTATTTTGCCTTTTTTTAGCATTTTTCGATATTTATTAAATTTTTTTTTTTTTAGCATATTTTTACAATATATTATTATAATATTAGTATACAAAACAACTGTCTTTTTAATATACTTATTATATTTAACCCATAATAAAACTTAATAATTTAAATTCAGCCAATTCAAAATATTACCCATGTTTTTCCTGTTTTCCAGTCAATCAGTTAAATACAGCTCTCCAGTCAATATTTTCAATTTTCTGTTTTTATTTTTTTTTTTTTCAAATAAAACAAAAATATTATAAACTACCCAACAAAATAATAAATTAAAAAAAAAATTATATTATATAATATTAATTCTTATTAAATTTATTAATTAACAGTGAATATAATTACTCATAGTTCACAGGAGTCAAGAAACAATATGAACAAATAATTAATAGTGTTTGAAGACGTAATAAACTTGAAAGGTAATTTATTTATGTCTGTTATCAAAATTACAGAAGAAATATATAATTTAATAAATTATGTTTATGTCATATTCAAAACCTTATAATTCAAATAGAATATTAATAAATCAATCAGTAGTTTATTAACAGATATTAAATAATAATCTACCAGCTTTGTTGTTAAGTACAATGGCGGATTTAGTTCTTTGCCTACGGGGGAGGGGGATATTTTTAAATATATATATTAGACTGGCTCTTATTTGGGTGATGGGGGAATTTTTATTTTTGAGTCCTCCTAACTTTGAAATAAAATATAATTTAAGCTTAATTTGAGCTCTCTAGAAAAATTTTTTGTCCGGTAAAGAAGCTAATGTTTCCATTTAAAACATATTAATTTTTTCATTTATTCTGAATTTTGTTTATAGAAGGTACAAAGAATTGACGTACTCATTTTTTCTTGGTCGAAAATTACTACACTGACCTTTCGAATTCACGCATCACCTACTTATTTGATATACCGTCGTTGCACGATCACAATAGTTAACCGTCGGAACTATGTATAGTATTTACCATTAGTCATTACGTACACTTGTACAGTGTGTCAGTGCGTCTATGCCACTACTTCTATGAACTTCGCGATTACTTTCACTCCGTTGACTGTTTAATCATTTGATCTGCACGTGGATACACGATATTATAAATAACGTTATAATATAATCACTTTGTATATCACCTATTTTACGCTGTATGCTCGCCACATCGCGAACTGTATGGGGGAAACGGGTTACTTTTCTCGTGGCGCG